TCGTGCCCCGGTCTGGGAAGATCCCACATGCCGCGGAGCGGCTGGGCCCGTGAGCCATGGCCGCTGAGCCTGCGCGTCCGGAGCCTGTGCTCCACAATGGGAGAGGCCACAACAGTGAGAGGCCTGCGTACCACAAGAAAAAAAACAAAAAACAAACAAACAACAAAAAATAGTTTTCATGGCTACGTAAGATTGAGGTGCACTCATGCATTTAACCAAGCCCCAAGCCCATACTGTTGGAAGTTTGGGTTATTTCCTTTTTCTTCTCAATTATATCATGCAGACACGAGGGATTGGGCAGGTAGGGGGTCTCTCACTGAGGATTTCTCCATCCACTGGCTTGTCGATGCTCTGCTCCAGACTTTGTAGCATGTAGCATGCACGCTTGACGTTAAGGATTCATATGAAAACCACCCTCAGTTATGCCTAGAGAGGGAAAGGGGTCTGCATTGGGTTGCTGTGCTGCGGCTATAATTGCAGTGAGCTGTGATCCCTGCAAGACTGAAAATCCTCCTGTGCCCCACCTTCCTTCCTGGATAACCTTCCCAGCTAGCGCTTCCCCTGTCAAACTTGGCTGGGTGGATCCTTCAAAGCAGTTACTTTTGTTTCCTAATAAATATCTTTCTGAGGTGAACTGAAGAAAATGAAAGGAAATTCCTGTTAATTTGATCAACTTACATTAAAAAATTTAAAACAAAAGCTTTCCTGGGCGTAGCTAACCAAGCAGATGGCAAAAGGGGGAAAGCCATTTATGCAGCTTATTGCAGTTTCACTGCGCCAGCCAGAATTTCTTGGTCTGGTTTCTTGCTGTAAGAGGACCGTTTGAGACCGTGGTAGAATAGATGCTCAAGAATGGAATAGAAATTAACTCCTTGGAGTGTAGATAGCCCATCACCTCTAAGGGCAGTGCCTGCCGCCCCTCCTGGCTGCCGTGGGACCCACTGCACCTTGATGGTTAGAGGAGAGGAGAAGTTAAAGAAGCATGTCAGGATCACCTTCCCCTAGGGATGGGCCTCTCTTGTTCATGTAGTGTCTGGAGCCCTAATTGTCAAGCCCTTGCTGAACCAAGTCCATATCCTCTGCCAGCTAATGTGTGCAGATGCAACTTCATAATTAAGGCCATCACTTCACCTCTGCATTTCCAGGCAGCCTTCAGTCTAATAAAATCGTGTCAGTGTAAGATCTGGAAAACTTATACGCGCTCTCTTGTTTTTCTGTGTTTGTCTAGGATACATCAGGAACTGCCCTCCATCCTGGGTTTTGGCGGGGCTGCTGCTGGGGTGAAGGGATGCGGAACCCCTTCTTGGTTCTCGGCACTGGGCTAGCTTGTGGCCTCCACCCTTTTCTTGCTCTTGGACAGAGTTTTCTAGCTTGGACATGACTTAAAAAAATTTTTTTTTATTGAAATATAGTTGATTTACAATGTTCTGTTAGTTTCAGTTGTACAGCAAAGTGATTCAGTTATCTATCTATCTATTCTTTTTTAGGTTCTTTTCCATTACAGGTTATTACAAGATATTGAACATCTTGTAATATATTTCTGTGTCTACTGTAGGTCCTTGTTGGTTATCTATTTTATATATGTGTGTATCTGTTAATCCCAAACTCCCAATTTATCCCTACCCCCTTTTCCCTTTGGTCACCGTAAGTTTGCTTTCTGTGTCTGTGGGTCTATTTCTGTTTTGTAAATAAGTTCATTTGTCTCATAATTTTTAGATTCCACATATATGTGATATCATATGGTATTTGTCGGACATGGTTTTTTTTTACCCGAGAACGCCGAGTGTTCTCGAGGCAAACTAAACCAGCCCTCCCTTAGAAGATACAGCGAAAATGAAAATTTATAAAAACGTTGTCTAGGGGACTCTGAAAGCTTTTAAAAGTGGAGGTGAGGCTTCCCTGGTGGCGCAGTGGTTGAGAATCTGCCTGCTAATGCAGGGGACACGGGTTCGAGCCCTGGTCTGGGAGGATCCCACATGCCGCGGAGCAACTAGGCCCGTGAGCCACAGCTACTGAGCCTGCGCGTCTGGAGCCTGTGCTCCGCAACAAGAGAGGCCACGACAGTGAGAGGCCCACGCACCGCGATGAAGAGTGGCCCCCGCTCGCCGCAACTAGAGAAAGCCCTCGCACAGAAACGAAGACCCAACACAGAAAAAATAAATTAATTAATTAATAAACTCCTACCCCCAACACCTTCTTTAAAAAAAAAAAATGGAGGTGCCATCTAATGACTTCTTCTGTTTCTACTTTAGATGCAGCAGCAGGAGCCTGGCTCGCCCAAGGCCAGCCTTTCCATCCTTGCCCGGGGGCTGGGCCGCCTCCTCTCCTGTTGGTGGCTGGCGGAGCTGATGATTCATCTTATGTACATGCACGCCATCTACAGCAGCACCCCCGTCCTGAGGGCCGTCTCATGTTGGACCTTAGGTAATGGTGGAAATCACTGGCGGCAGAACAAGCATCGAGAGAGGTAGCTTCACGGCGAAGCTGGGCCGGGGGCAGACAGGGGTGTAGTTGCCTTGAGCAAACCCTCCTTCTTTTCACCTTGTTCCTCTTGTGGCCGAGGTGACGCATGTGTGAGGTGGCTGACAGAGGTGAGGGTCAGGCTTGATGGTCTTGGAACCAAGGATGGTAGCAATACCTCTTCCTAATGGAATCCTGCTAAGTTCAGCTGGGTCCACATCTTCCTGGTATGGCCAGCATTGCACTTGACAGGAGAAGGCAAGAGATGCTGGGTGCAGCCTTGTAGCCCCTGCTAAGAGGTAATGCTTTAAGACCGAGTTCTGCAGTAATCCTTGTTGTTTTCCTGTATGATATAAAGCAAAGAGCATGAGCTTTAGAGTCAGACAGATACAGGTTTTTTTTTTTTATTGAAGTGTAGTTGATTTACAACGTTGTGTTAGTTTCAGGTGTACAGCAAGTGATTCAGTTATATATACATATATGTGTGTGTGTATATATATATATATATATATATATATATATTCTTTTTCAGATTCTCTTCCCTTATAGGTTATTACAAAATACTGAGAATAGTTCCGTGTGCTATACAGTAGGTCCTTGTTGGTTATCTGTTTTATATATAGTAGTGTGTATCTGTTAATCCCAAACTCCTAATTTATCCCTCCCCCCATCCCCAGCTTTCCCCTTTGGTAACCATAAGTTTCTTTTCTATGTCTATGGGTCTATTTCTGTCTTGTAAATAAGTTCATTTGTATCATTTTTTTAGATTCCACATATAAGTGATAGCATATGATATTTGTCTTTCTCTGTTTGGCTTACTTCGCGTAATATGATAAAATCTAGGTCCATCCATGTTGGTGCGAATGGCATTATTTCATTCTTTTTTATGGTTGAGTAATATTCCATTGTATATATGTACTACATCTTCTTTATCCATTCACAGCCAGACATAGGCTTGAACCTCGGCTCCACCAGTCACTAGTGGGCAATCTTTGGCAGCTTGCTACAACTGTCTGCACATTCACCTGTCAAATGAGCAGACTCACCTTTGCAGGGTTGTTTGGAGGATTAAGTGAAACCATGAAGGTGAAAGGCTTACCTCGTAAAATGTCTGATAGATAGAATTAATGGTGTGTTCTTATGTAGGCCCCTCTGTTGGCCCCTTTTTCTTGTTTACCCATTTCTTTCTGTCTGCAGGTAGGTGGGCTGGAGGTCTTATTTCCTTAGCAGGACACAGTCTCCAGTATAAGACTTTTCTGTGGAGATGCTATCGTTCTTTATTCCTCTGGCTGAAACATCAGAGAACATGCTCCTTTCTGAACGAAATCTTTTCATTACTTTGCACTCCTTTCAAGAACTGAAATTCAGCCCCGTGGTCTGACCTCCAGCCTGTGGCTCCAATGGGAAATGAGTGATCTTCCGGCCAGATTAAGCTCCCTGCCGAGGGCAAGAGTAATAGCCTGACTCCTTATCTGTTTGGTGATTTATAGATTTAAAAAAAAATCTTGATTGCCCTTGTTATCACACATGCTTAATCAGAATGTTTTCAAGGAAGATGCCTTTTAGGACTGGAAAAATGCTGAGTTGTTTTAATGACAGTCTGTTCTTCCCAGACAAAATCTTTTTTCATACTTGGGGGTAACTAATAATCTAAGGCTTTAATGATACACTTAGGCAAACAAAATAGGATTAAGTGATGGCTTATGCTAAATCATATCCCAGTTGTACTACATCCAAATTAAGAGATTGTATCCGTTTGGGTGATTTTAACTATGAAAACTGGAAAGCAAAACTGAAAATGGGATTTAAACAAAAAGGAAAAGTTATCTCAGACAGCTATTACTCCTAAGGTCAGCGCTAAGGGTGGTAAATCCAGTGACAAAGAAAAGTCATTAGGGGTACATTTGGGTACCAACCACTCAGCTTAAGAACTAACCAGAATCCTACAAGCCCTTTGTTTGCACCCATAATAACCCCATCACCTCTTTTCACTCCCTCCACAAAGATAACCTGACTTTTGGGTTTATCATTCCCTTTTTATAAAATCTTTTTTTTTTAAAATAGACTTTATTTTTAGAGCGATTTTGGATTTATAGCAAAACTGAGAGCAAAGTACAGAGATTTCCCATATATCCCCTGCCCCACACGTGCACAGCCTCCGCCAGTATCAACGTTTCCACCAGTGTGGTACATTTGTTACAATTGATAAACCTACAATGACACGTCGTTATCACCCGAAGTCCATCTTTATATTAGGATTTACGCAGTGTTGTACAGTCTGTGGGTTTTGACAGATGTGTAATGATGTGTATCCACTCCTATAATATGAGACAGAGTAGTTTCACAGCCCTAAAAATTCTCTGTGCTCTATTCATCCCTCTCTCCCCTTTAATCCCTGGCAACCACTGATCTTTTCACCATCTCCATAGTTTTACATTTTCCAGAATGTTGTCGTATAGTTGGAATCATACGGTATGTAGTTTTTTCAGATTGACATATTTCACTTAGTGATATGCATCTGAGGTTCCTCCATGTCTTTTTATGGTTTGATAGATCATTCGTTTTTAGTGCTGAATAATATTACATTGTCTGGATGTTCCACAGTTCATTTATCTGTTTGTCTACTGAAGTACGTCTCAGTTGATTCTAAGTTTTGCAGTGATGAATAAATTTGCTATAGATATCCACGTGCAGAGTTTTATGTGGCCACAGGTTTTCAACTCCTTTGGAGCGATTATATGGTAAGAAAATGTTTATTTTCGTAAGAAACTGCCAAACTGACATTTTTCAAACTAGCTTTTTTTTTTTTTTCCTTACCTGCAAGTTATGAGTGCCTGCTACTGCACATATTTGCCAGTGTAACAGTCCTTTATCAGGTGTGTCTTTCGCAAAGATTTTCTCCCAGTCTGTGGCTTATTTTCTCTTTCTCTTGACAGTGTCTTTAACAGAGCAAAAGTTTTTAATTTTAATGAAATCCAGCTTATCAATTATTTCTTTCATGGATCGTGCATTTGGTGTTGTATCTAAAAAATCCACCATCCCCAAGGTCACCTAGGTTTTCTCCCGTGTCATCTTCTAAGAGTTTTAGAGTTGTGTGTTTTATGTTTAGGTCTATGATCTATTTCGAGTTAATTTTTGTGAAGGGTGTAAGAAATTAGACATGAATTTCTTCCAGCACCATTTGTTAGAAAGACTGTCTTTGCTCCATTATGTTGCCTTTGCTCCTTTGTCAAAGATTGCTCGACTTTATTTATTAGTCTGTTTCTTGGCTCTCTGTTATGTGCCATTGATCTTTTTGTTTATTCTTTCACCAGTGTCACACTGTCTTGATTAATGTAGCTTTAAAGTAAGTCTTGAAGTCAGATAGTGGCAGGCCTTTGACTTTCTTCTCCAATGTTGTACTGGTTATTCTGGGTCTTTTGCCTCTCCATGTAAACTTTAGAATCAGTTTGTCAATATCCACTAAAAAAGCTTGCTAGGATTTTGATTTGGATTGCATTGAATCTATAGATGGAGTATGGAAGAATTGATATCTTGTTATCTTGAGTCTTTCTATCCATGAACATGGCTGTCTTTCCGTTTATTTAGTTCTTCTCTGATTTCTTTCATCAGACTTTTTTAGTTTTCCTCATATGTAACTTGCACATATTTCGTTATATTTATATTTATAACTGAATTTTTTGGGGGGAGTACTAATGTAAATGGTATTGTGTTTTTAGTTTCAAATTCCACTTGTTTATTGCTGGTAAATAGAAAAGTGATGGACTTTACTATATTAACCTTATTTTGTACAACCTTGCTACAACCTCTTATTCCAGGAGATTTTGTTGTTGTTGTTGTTTCTTTGGGATTTTCTACATAGACAATCATGTCATCTGCAAGGAAAAGTAATATTTTCCTTCCCAAAGTATATGTTTTTTGTTTCATTTTCTTCTTTTATTGAATTAGCTAAGACTTCCAGTATGACGTTGAAAAGGAGTGGTGAGAGGGGACATCCTTGCCTTTTTTCCTGTTTAACTCAGGAAGTATTTTGAGATTTCCTAGCTATCTATTGTTGATTTCTAATTTAATTCCATTATTATCCATTATTATCTGAGAGCAGACATTGTATGATTTCTGTTCTCTTAAATTTATTTAGGTGTGTTATATGGTCCAGAATGTGGTCTGTCTTGGAGAATGTTCCATGTGAGCTTGAGAAGACTGTGTGTTCTGTTGTTGGATAAAATAGCCTATAGATGTCAATTATATCCACTTGACTGATGGTGCTGTTGCGTTCAACCATGTCCTTACTGATTTTCTGCCTGATAGATCTGTCCATTTCTGTTAGAGGGGTGGTGAAATCTCTAATTACAATAGTTGGATTCATCTGTTTCTCCTTGCTTTTCTATCAGTTTTTGCCTCACATAGTTTGACCCTCTGTTGTTATGCACATATATATTATATATTACTATGTCTTTTTAGAGAAGTGACCCCTTTATCATTATGTAATGCCCCTTTTTATCTCTGATAATTTTCCTTGCTTGGAGGTCTGATGTGTCTGAAATATATCTACTCCAGCTTTGATTAGTCTTAGTATGGTATATCTTTCTCTATGCCTTTACTTTTAACTTAACTGTATCTTTATATTTAAAGTGGGTTTCTTTTAGGCAATATATGGTTGGGTCCTATTTTTTGATCCACTCTGATAATCTCTATCTTTTAATGGATGTATTTAGACCATTGATGTTTAAAGTGATTATTGAATTATTATCTATCATGTTCATTACTCTTTTCTATTCATCGCCCTTGATTTTTGTTCCTATTTTTATGTTTCATTCTTTGTTTGCCTTTTTTGTTTTTAATTAAACATTTTATGTCACTCCATTTTCTTTATTTTCTTAGCATTTCAAGTACACCTCTTTCTTAACTTTCTTAGTAGTTGCCATAAAATTTGCAGTATACATTTACAACTACTCTGAATCTAT